CTGCACACGTCGCAGCTATTGAGTGAGTCACCACTATAGTTTGGTGACTCACCGAAAGTTACCCATGGGACCAGTCTGAGGCAAGCAACCGGGATGGCTATAAAGCCATCACCAAACTTGAAAAAGAAAAAAAAAGAAACACAACAATAGAACGAACAACCACCAAGAGAGTTCTAACTTTTGCCACATTTTGCCAAATGTGTTGCCAACTAAAACACAAGTTTGATTTTAACACTCCCCCTCAAACTTGATTTTTCATTCCGAGCTTTTCTCCTCTTATTATCTCCAATAGACTGAATCGTTGTACCTTTATGGTATTCTTCTCTCTCATGTAGATCTTCAAACTTCTGTGGGAGGTGCTTCAGAATCTTCTATTATGTTGCTAGTATCGTTGTTGTTACTTGACGACGATGGTACATTTTTTTGAGGACCTTGATCATCAGCTTGTTCATCTTGATTGATAAGATCGTCATCTTTATCTTTATTAAAAAACAGTCCTTCAACTTTCTTTTCCTCTTTGCTCCATCTCCAATAGTCTTCTTATCGAACTCAACATCTCTTGAAATTATTACCTTCTTGGTAATATGATTATATAATCTGTAAGCTTTGCTTATTTCATCATAGCCAATGAAAATACATTTTGCTCCTCTGTCATCAAGCTTCTTTCTAGTCTGTTCAGGAACATGGGCACATGCGATGCATCCAAAAATCTTGAGGTGTCCAACTCTTGGTTTCTGTCCACTCCATGCTTCGTTTGGTGTCATATACTTCACACTTTTTGTTGGATATCGGTTCAATATGTAAACTGCACATCGAGCTGCTTCTGTCCAAAAATTTCTCGATAGATGTTTACCTTTTATCATGTTTCTTGCCATGTCAAGAATTGTGTGGTTCTTTCTTTCTGCAACTCCATTTTGTTGTGGCGTGTATCTGAGCTGATGGATGATGCTATACTTGTAAACACTAATTTTTTCATTTTATTTTTAAAATTATTATTATTATTATAATAATAATTATTATTATTAAATAAAAATTTATATTACAAGCCCATCTACAAAGGCCCAATAGTAAATCGAGACCCAATTTTACAACAACCCATCAGGCCCTAGAAACCCTAACCCTTCTAGGGTTTCCTGAAGATTCCAGCCGCCCCAGCCAATTGTTTATCTTCTCTAACACCGCTGCCACGCCAAGCTTCTGTCGAAGACTCTAGAAAGTCCAACGCTGCCATTTGGTTCCACGCCTCGCCAAAGGAAGCACCACTAAACCGCACACGTCGCAGCTATTGAGTGAGTCACCACTATAGTTTGGTGACTCACTGAAAGTTACCCATGGGACCGGTCCGAGGCAAGCAACCGGGATGGCTATAAAGCCATCACCAAACCTGAAAAAGAAAAAAAGAAATACAATAACAGAACGAAAAACCACCAATAGACCACCAACAGAAGCAATACAGAACATATACGAACGAGGAAAGCAAGGTACCAAAAACCCAACAGCAAATAGCCATATATACAACAAACGAAGGAAGAGAAGCAACTTACCCTCGGAAAGCCCAGACGTCGCCGTAATCCGTGTGAAAACCGAGGTAAAACTGTCGTTTTTTCTAGATCTACTAATTTTGGGTTCTTTTTAGGAGAAATAAAAACCATATTCAATTTTAGGTTGAAGAGATCTACGATTTGGTGTAGATCTGTAATTTTCGGCCACCTAGAGAGAGGCAAGAGAGACTCTCTCTTAGAGAGAGAAAAAAATTAGGAAATGAGGAAAACTGGCTTAAAATGTTTGACTAAAAGGGTTTAAATACCCCTCCCCGACGACGTCGTTTTGTGGGAGGGGTGCTTGTGTAATTTCCCGTAGAGGAAAACCCTTTCTGAAATCCTCCATATTTTGTACATTTATATTTTAGTCACCGAATTAAATTTTTGGGCATTTTTAATTTGTACTTTTCATTTTGTTTAATTTATAATTTAGTCACTGCCCATAGGTGCTTAAATATTTAGGGTAAATACCCTATTTAGTCCCTTATAATTTTAATGATTTATATTCTAATATGATTTAATTAATTATGGTTACATTACACTTTTTTATCAATATTTTATAATATTTAGAGTTAGAGCCTTTAAGTTTTATATTTTACATTTTAATCACTATTTTTTATAATTTTCATTTTATTCCATGAATTTTATATTTTTTGTAATTTAATACTATATATTTTAATTTCTTTTATTTTGGTCATTATTCAATTGTAATTTATTTTTATTATTACCTTTTTATGTTCAATGTATTTAATTTAATAATTTAATTATTATTATTTTTATTTTAGTCATAAATATATATAATATAAATTTAGGAAAAATAATCATATTTTATTAGTATTTATTTATTATTATTAAGAAAGGGGTTGTCTTAAAGTAACTAGATGTCATTTTCTGATATTTTTAAATAAATAAATATCCTACTTTTATAAATTATATATATATATATATATATATAATTTTATTATTTTTAAATTATTTTTAGGAAAATGTTTTATTTAATATTTATTTATTTTTTAATATTAAAAGGGGTTGTCTTAAAGCAACTAGATATCCCTTTCTGATATTTTTAAATAAATAAATACCCTTTAAAACTATAAAAATATATATATTTAAATATATTTTTCTTAGAATTATTCGATTGAATCTGGAATAAGAGGATCATAAATTATATTTATATTTGAATTCTTAAATTCTATTATTAGAGACAATTTATAATCGACAAGTACCAATTTTGGGCGTTTTGGGGGTGTTAATCCTTCCCCAAACGTAACCGACCTTGAAACCCTTTTTTATTACTAAAAAGAATAAATTTTTGGTTACACGTAGATCAGTTTATCTTTTAACTGATGTTTTCTTAAAAAATCTTTTAAAAGATGATTTTTAGGTATTCGACCTACTTTATCCAAAAAGGTCGATGGCGACTCCAAAACATTTCCTTAAAAAACATTTATTCATTCACATTACTTTTTCCGCCAAGGAAAATTCGTACCCGGGAGAAAACCGGTTACGACAATGCTCTTTGCAGGATTCTTCAAATAACTTTGATGTATATTCGCCTCCTCGATCTGATCTGAATATCTTCAAATATTGGCCACTTTGCTTTTCCTCAATTTCTTTAAATTCTTTATATTTTTTCAGCGCTTCTGACTTTTCTTTCAAGATATAAATCCAACATTTTCTACTAAAATCATCAATAAAAGTTAGGTAGTACAAAAGGACCGGCTATATCTGTGTTATTATCTCCAGCGGTCTTCGGGCACGCCAAGATCTACTAGCTTCAAAGCTTTGTCTATGATGATTTCCTTTAATTCAAGCCTCACATAATTGATTTGGAGGGTTGATCTCTGGTAGTCCTTTCACCATACTTGTTTTTGATAACAACTTCAAACCAGAAAATCCAAGATGTCCATATCTTAGGTGTCACAGCCATGAATCATCTTTGATCACGGTCTTCATGCACTTGACTTCTCCTGACTCGATATCAATTGTAAAGAGACGATTTCGAGTCATATCAACTTGGGCTATCAATTCTCCTTCTTTATTTTTGATGGCAAGTGAGCGATTCTTCATCTGCACTTCATATCCTTTTTCTAGGAGTTGACCAAGACTGATGATATTGCTTTTTAAAGTAGGTACATAATAAACATCTGAAATGTACTTCTTTTCTCCATTTCTCTGAGTAATCATGACTTCTTCTTTTCCTTTTAGTTCTGCGTGCGAGTTATCTCCGAAAGTTACTCGCACATGGACTGTTTCATCTAATTTCACAAACAATTCCTTTTGACCACACATATGGTTACTGGCACAATTATCAAGATACCAAATATTTTTCTTGAATTCTTCATTTCCTTTATAAGTGAGGAATAGATGAGATTTTTTAATTTTTTCTTCTTCAGCTGCTGCTACGTTATTTCTTTCTTCTTGTTTAGGAGCAAATCTACACTTATAACTATAATGACCATACTTATTGCAATTATAACATTGTACCTGGGATTTATTTTCTTGTTAATATCTGTCTCTACCTCGGCCTTTGAATTCTCGTCCACGGCCTGATGTTGGATTGTTTTCACTTATTTGATCGGTGCTATATGATCGACCACCACATCCACGAGTTCCTTGTCCTCCTCTGTATCTTCCACGATAACCACCACGATTTACTCGGCCTTGTGTGTAGCTGCTTCTAGCTTCTCCTTCGTTGACATTCATCTTGCTTTGTAGAGCTTGCTACAAATTTTCAGAATCTTCATTTTGTTTCATTTTCTTCTCATGTTGAAGTGAACCCACAAGCTCATCGATCGATATTTGGGATAAATCTTTCGATTCTTCGATTGACATAACCACATAATTGAATTTTCTTGTCAACGACCGCAAAATTTTTTCCATCACTCTAACATCATCGAGTGATTTACCATTTATTTTCATTTCATTCACAACCACTTTTACACGGCTAATATAATCATCGATGGTTTTCCATATTTTTCATTTTTAACATCTCAAACTCAGCTCTAAGAGTTTGTAAACGTATCTTCTTTGCTTTTTCGGAACCTTGTAGAGATTTTTTGCAAAATCTCTCACACTTGTTTTGCGGTCTTCGCATCAGAAATTTTTTCAAAGGTAGAATCGTCTACTCCTTGAAAAATAAAGAACAATGCTCTTTTATCTTTTTTTCAGGATTACTTCAATACCTTCTTTTCTTCATTGGCTAGGACTGTTTCTGCTTTTGCATTTTCAGGCTCGGTGTAACCATTCTCGATGATATCCCAACAATCTTGGGAACCTAGTAACACCTTCATTTGAATGCTCCAATTGCCATAATTCGTCTTTGTCAATCTCATGATTTGTGGTTGAATCATGTTGGCCATCTTCTCCACCACGTTAAACTCGAACCAAGCTCTTATACCATTTATTGGAAGCGTAGGTGGACTCTCAGTAATTTATATAACTCAAAATATTATTAATATGAGGCAAAATACGTTACAACGATGTTACCCCAATATGACAACACTACAACACTAGCTGCGGCTAGTTTACAAACACAACCTCGCTATTCTAAGCTTTGCTAAGCTTCACCCTCTTTCTCTAATAGCTTTGCTAAGCTATTTTTCATTATGGCTTTTCTAAGCTATCTTCATATTCCTTCTCTTTCACTTTGCATACATTTATATTAATGCTAAAGACATATATTTATAAGGGTAATTAACCTCCTTAATGAAAGATCTAGGCCTTTCCAAATTCTTCTTGTATTGCCACATAGAGTTCCTTGTCTTAATGAAATTCCCTTCCATCATCAATTGTCACATGTTTATTTTTCATTCTTAACTCTTAAGTAATTCAAGATCATGCTTCATTAATCAAGAATCTTCTAACTTTTGCCACCTTTTGCCAAGTGTGCTGCCAACTAAAACACAAGTTTGATTTTAACACACACTTGATAAATTTTTAGTTAAATTTATTAATTTATGTTTATATTAAGTTCTATATAGTATTAGTAAGTAAAAAAATAAAATAATTTTTTTAGTGAGCTTAGCGAGCAACGAGGTGAACAACGAACTTAATGAGTTTAACGAGCGACGGGTTGAGCAACAAATTTTCTTAACGAACACGAGTCGAGCAAAATTTTAACGAGCACGAGTCGAACAAAATTTTAACGAGCAACAAGTCGAGCAACAAATTTTCTTAATGAGCACGATTCGAGCAAAATTTTAACGAGCTTAATGAGCAACGAGTCGAGTCGAGCAGCAAAATTTTTTAACGAGCACAAGTTGAACACTGCCCAACTCGCGATCGACTCGCTTGATAAGAACCCTAGGTGTATCGATTAATTTGCTTAATATCTAATCATGATTTATGCTGCAGTCCAACATATAACATTACGGTAACTCAAATTCGGGTCGGGACAACTATAATCATTGGTGATATTACTGCTCTTTTTTATTCCGGGAGCTCATTTACGTACTTGGTTGACCCAACATATTCAAACCTTGCAGAGAATGTAAGTATTTTGCATGTTAAAAACCTATAAAACTTGGTGTTGCAACTTCATAGTTTTGTGCTCTTCTACAGTTCCATTCTCAGGCACAAGATAGGCGCCGTCCACCTGATTCAAGGATCCCTTTTGAATACTGTTATGATATGAGGTCCGTTATTTAGTCTTGTTTCACATAGTATTGTTTTTCTCAACGGTTGAATTTTGCACAATTTATTATTTTTCTTTGTGGAATGCAGCCCTGATGCAAATGCCACTTTAATACCCAGTATGAGTTTAACGATGAAAGGCGGACATCACTTTCCTGTATACGACCCAATAATCATCATTTCTACTCAGGTAGTATCCTGCTCCTGGACCTTATTCTTTTATTTTCTTTCGTACTCCGGACTGAAAATTTCATTAACAAATTTGATCTCTAATGGTTTGCAGAGTAAACTTGTATACTGCTTGGCTGTCATCAAGAGTACGGAACTGAATATTATTGGACGTAAGTCTTGCGTATAGCATGTGGTTATTTGAGTGCTGAACTTGCAAGAGAATTATGTAATACAACTTAAATTTCCATTATTGTATGTTTTTGCTTATTGGGCTGTTCTTTCCTCTAAACAGAAAACTTTATGACCGGTTACCATGTGGTGTTCGACCGAGAAAGATATGTCTTGGGATGGAAGAAGTTTGATTGTAAGTGATGCTTTTCCTGTATGGTTTTTCATTCGAGCGTGTTTACTTGCGAAACTCAATGGCTTTTATGCAGGTTTCGACGTTGAGGATACTAATAAATCTGAAGTAGAAACGTATGCTGCCTCTGAACCTCCTGCCGTTGCTGCCGGAATCCATAATTATTCAAACCCAGAGTCAAGTAATAAAGATGTCAATAATACCCATTCCGGCAGTTCCGTTGGCTTGCGATCTTGCCATTTCCATATTTCTCTTCTGGCATTCTTCGGAGCCATCATCTCCATATTGCCCCAATTATCATAGGGCATGCTTTGGGACATATCCTGCTTTCATCTTCACACAGATCCAAGCATATGGCATATATGGTTTAGATGTCTACTTTGTTGTTGCCCTTTGATCCCCTTTTGATCATTTAGCAAAGAATAGGGATCAAATGTACAAATGTAGCACAGTTTTGTTGGAAGCAAACAATGAAACAGTTATGTCCAGTATGTTTTAACTGCGTCCGAACGTTTCGACTCTGAAAATTGATGTTTGAATTTTGTTTTGAGCTAGCATGTATTTGTATGGGGCCAGCAATGCATATGCTGACTCAGATAAAGAGTTGACCTTATTATCAAGGGGCATGGATTTCATTCAGCAAATGAATTGTATCACATCAGGAGGCAACCACTAAATTTAATATTACAACTTTGAACAAATAATAATAATAATTCGGCTAGGGTAGATAGCTGACCATTTTTTTTAAAATTCAGAGCCTAAATTATTTAAAGAAATCACATCTTCAATTGATTATGTACAAAATTAGTACTGTTTTATTGAGCGAGCATGTTAAGTAACATATGTCAGGGCGCGTTTTTATCTAAGAAGATACGCTCACTCAACATCTAAAAATACTTTAATTGACACATGGAAGATGTAACTGGCTCAATACGATTTTTATGAGATTAAAGAAAACATAAAGTGAATTTTCAACCTTTAAATTAGAAAACGCATTATGATTTTATTTTCTCGACAAATATTATTTAAAAAAAACCTACAACTAGTTGGTCTAGTAGTATGAGGCATTAAATTTCTTAAGCAAGGTCAGAGGTTCGAAATCCTGACGTTTGCGTATGGAGCAAATTGAGTTGAGAAGGTCGCTCCCATAATGGGCATCTACAAAACCCGATATGGATTAGTCGGTCAATAGTTTAGATACCAGTGATTAATTCAAAAATTATCTAAAAAAATGGAAAGTGCATTTTAGAGATAGATTGTGGAAATCTTTAAAAACAAACTTTGTAATAGTAGTGATCATGAAACGTGTCATTCGCCCATAAGCACACTCACGAAAGCAACATATTATTAGTTGTCTACATTGTTATCTGTACAACTAAGGAGAGATTCAATGTCTACCACACTTGTTTTATTGCCTTGAGATTTACGACAGAGATCGAAACCATTGTTGGTTTAAATGTTTCTTCTTTATATAGAAAGCATAGTTTTGTGTTACAAAAATGACGTGAACGTTGAGAGGTTTCATGACCTGTTCATATCGGGCCGGGAATCTATAAGACTAATGGTTCAATTACAAGTTCTTTCAAACAAACAAGTAACCGTGCTCCTCCCATGCCCATAACTACATGTTCATATATTTACATATCGATTTCAAAAGATACACAAATGACTTATATAGGGTTTAACGGATCTTCAAGGTATATAAACATGAGTTATTATCGATGTGAAATGAAAGAGAATAGAATATGGATGACACTAGGCCTATAGTGTTATCTAGAGATGAGCAAAAACCGATTAAAAAACTGATTTTTTTTTTACTCGAATTGATTTCAAGTTACAATTTCATAAACTCGACTCAACTCGAAAAAATTTCAAGTTCAAATCGAGTTGTAAAATGTAACTCAAATAACTAGAAATTTTTAGTAAATAGTGGATTTATTTTTAAGTTTGAGTCGAATCCTTGGAGCTTGTATGATATACGTATATCACATATGAAAAAAATATGTAGAAATATATTTGTATTGTATATATGGTTATAGAAACTTACTTAAATTTGAATCAAATAATATTGTAATATTATAAATATTAACAATTAAATTTAAACAAAAACTCAAAAAATTGACTTGACTTGCCTCAACTCGAAAAAATTTCAAGTTAACTCCGAGTTATAAAATATGACTCATCAACTCGAATAACTTGAATTTTTTTTACTCGACCCAATCAAGCGCTTATCCCTAGTATTATCATTTTTTATTACTTAGAGACTTGAAATTAATCAAACCCTAACCTAAATCATAACTCCTAAAATCTTAAAATTTATTTTAAAAAATACATTGTATATATACCTTGAAAAAACATCCATGAAAAATTTATAAATTCAGTCGCTTCTTTTATGTGTGCAGATTAAAATATCCTCTGATGTTAAAATGAGCATGCCATATAAGATAAAGATGCATTCTATTAGACATATTTAAAAACGCAACTGATGTATCATATTTTACTTTATATAACAAAAAACATATCATTTTCTCAGTAGATCTATAACTTTATGAATGTGAATACGTGTTTATTATAAAATTTATTTTTTTATTAATCACATATTTTAGTAATAATATTAACCTTAAAATTTTATCAATTACCACGATACTATTAATAATTTAATAAAATTATGTTGTTAATATATATATTAACTTTAAAAAGTACATTTAAATCCTTAACTAATTTGTATAAATAATTTAGGAAACAGATGCAAGAGTTTGATAGGGTATCAATGAATCAACTAGGCAAGGCCCCAACTGTTACCGCTTCTGCCTTTGGCTTTGGCTGTGAGCCTTCCCTCCGAAGTTAAAATAGTATTATTAAAAGAGATTGGGTGTTTGGAATGACACATGTAGGATTGCGTGCGACTTAAATTTTATATAATCGACTCTTTCGTTTATGGTTTGGACTGATCACCAACCAAAAGTAGAGCTGAATCTTGTAATATTTATATGGTTAAGCTGCCATGGCATGCATCTTGAGGTTGTTGAATGGATCATTCTCTTTTTCTATTGCCATTGGGGTTTTTGGTTTTTGTTTTCCTTCTTCAACCCCAAAATGTAAATTCCCATGCCTGATTACATAAAAGAATTAAACAGTAAATAAACCATTTGTTTCTTTTTCCCAACACGGCTTCCTTCATCTTTTTTCACCTGTTCTTTCCACAATTCATTCCCTTTTTATCTGATCATTATGCACGAACCAAATGATCAAAAAATAGTTACTAACTATTATCCCTATTCCTTAAAAGTCCTATCCCGACAATATTAGTTTCATGTTTTCCCTAGTTCTTGATTAGAAGACCTAGCCATGAACTTGACAATAATACTCTATAAGTAGATATACAACCACACCTACTCTGGAGCTATGCATCTATCATCTATTGAACGTCTTTAAAAAAATTACTAAACAAAATAAAATGGAAAGCTCAAATACGTAAAGCGATTCTGCAAAACAAAACTAAAAAGATGGAAAAGGGGAAAAAGATGAAGATGTAAGAAGAAATACAGAGGAATGAAAAGAATCGATGATTAATCTTTTAGACCATCGCTATTAACAACCAATTAAGTTTATCAGTTCTGACCAAAACAAGAGATCTAGAGTGAGAAAACTCAATTGTGTATTGTTTTATTATTTCATGGCCTCGTAGTCATATTAGAATTGCTCTTTGAATAAATTCACGTAGACAACATTGTTCAAACTTGGATCATTTAAAGGGAACTTGTCATCCTTTGTTTGTTGGAATCGCATCTTGAGTTACAATCATAAAATTTTAAGTTAATATATAAAGATGGTTTATTTCTAATTTTGTTAATTACAATTAGCCGATAGTAATTATCTAACCACCTTAAACATATGGATCTCATTCAATAAAAGGAAAAAAAAAACACAACTCACCTAGTAATACGGCGTAAAAATGCATAATCTGAAAGGACCAAGTCACTTATGATAGGTTTTGGAGTTTGAATACTTTTTTGTTTAAAAACAGTGGATTTTTACAAGGAAAAAAAATTACTCTAATTACCTACAATATATAAATACCAAACACCTTAACTCTGTACTTCCAATTCTCATTTAATTTCTTTCCAGAAAAAGAAAAGATTTTCTGCATTACTATTTTCTTTAAATAAGAAACAATGAGGTCTTCATAAAAATAGTTTAATTTATTAGAATTTGATTATTTCATTTTACAAAAACCAATAAATTAATCTAGTTTATTAAAATTTTAAAATCTGTTGTTAAATCGATGATTTGAAAATCTATAGTTTAAATATATGAAATTAATAAAAATCATGCAATAATTTATAAAATAAGAAAACCAAATTCTAACAAATTAAAGTAAAAAGACTAAATTTCCATTTTCGTAAAGTCACAGTTAAACCGATGCATAAGTGAAAAATCTACAAAACACAAGGAGCTTGTAAAAAAAATTATTTAAATACATGGTGAGGGTCCCACGTTTGAGTTTGGGTACCAAACTCGAGCGGTATCGTCTGTTCATCAAACTCAAAACCAATATTTTTAAAACCGGATCAGACATTGAACGGTGAAGGTATTGGTTCACTGATTCAATCGAGTTCAACTACGGTTGAACCGGATTTTATATAAAATAATTTTTTTTAATTTTACATAATATTCAAATTAATATTAATATATATAACACTTTTTTTAAGTTTACAATATTAAAAAGTATAAAAATATCATAAGTCATAACATGTATAAATAAAAAACCATAAAATCAAGTGAAACAAAATGATTCAAATCAACTACAACATAATATTTAAGGTAAAACATATTAAATAATAAATATAATTATATAACTATAATAAAAAAAATTGGGACTTAAAAAAATTATAACAAATGATGTCATTTGGTTTAATTGTTTTAAAAAAAAACAATCCCACATGGTTAAGAAACATAGAAGAGTATCCCAAAAGTTTAAAGAGTAAAAATATGAGAACAAAACAATCACATATGACTAAGAAACAAAGAAGAGCATCCCAACTACTTCTATAAATAATAGAGATAATTTGACATTCAAAATCATGAAGCCTTTTGGTGAGCACAAAGCGAACTATTCTTTCGCTTCAATTGAGTTCAAATTTTAAGCTTCAATCGAACTTCTAATTTTTTTTTTGAGTTCGAGCCTTTTTGATTTCAAGTTTTAATATTATATTTCGAGTTGATAATTTTTAGCTCGTGAGTTTTTTAGTCGAGT